TACGAAAGAGGAGCAGCTCCAGGCATCAGCACCCCAAATGCTTAAAAGAGCTGGTGATGCGCAGTGCTGACCACCCTGCTTCCAGCCTGACCCACCACCACCGTGGTGTTTCTGGGCCTTGTCTTCTCGCACACACTTGCACGCACAACCACAGCCTTGGTGCTGCTCCATTTAGAAGCAACAGGTCCTGTTTCCCCCAGACATTCCAGGCTACAGCAACCAGAATCTCTGCAGTTCCGTCACGTTGGAAGCTCAAGGCCACCCAGTGCCAGCGCTGCCCTTGAGGCAGGCATGTCCTGGTGGAGCCCCACGTGAGGGCCTGGCTCTGCACATCCTCTGGGCGGCACTGGGGTCACTGGCAGGCTCCTCAGCAGAGCTCAGCTCCCTTCTGAGAGCTCAGCACGCCGCCAGTGGACACCTGTGATGTCCTGACCGGTGTCCTTGAGTCAGGAGCTGGGGCACAAGCAGGGCTGGCCGCTGCTGGGGCTTGGTGTTCAGCAGGCAATGATTGTCATAGGAAGTAGGGAGGGCAGCACTCAGGAGTCGAGGAATGGATCCATGCTCCCTTCCTCCCTTCCCACCCCCTCATCCCTGCCAGGGATGGTCTGGGGGCCTCCCTCGGCTCGGCTCCATTATGCCCATGCTTAGCCATCTAATGCCTGCTCCCTCCGGGTGGTGCTACTGCATGCCCCAGCTCCCCTGTGTGCAACGCACTCGTCCCCAAGCCCGGGGGCTGTCCACCTGCAGTCTAGCGCTCCAGGGCCTTTGGGGGTGCTTGTGCCTTTTAGGTTTTTAGTTATTTTTCTTGGAAGGGCTTGAGTTTATGCCTGGACCATGATCCTCCTAGTCATGCCTCCCACAGAACTGGGATCACAGGTGTGCAGCGCCACCTCTGGCTTGTTGGTTGAGATGGGGTCTGCCTTGCTTAGACTTGAACTGTGATCCTCTCAATCCCCACCTCCCAAGAGCTGGGGCTAGAGGCATCAGCCGCTGTTCTGAGCTCCCTTTGAGTTCTCCCATCTTTCTGTAAACGGGGCACGGTGAAGTAGGTATGACGGGTAGCACAGTCAATGCCTGGGCCCTGCATGGTCCTCCCTGAGGTGGTGCTCTTGTCTTCCCTGTGCATCCAGGGCCATGGTCCCTGCCACCTCTTCCATGTCACTCTTCTGCCTTGTGTTCTTTCCTCCATCTGCCCAGAGGAAACCTCGAGGCCAAGACAGAGGCTCATGGTATCCATGGACACTGTCAGTCATGAAGATGGGCTGGTACCAGCCCATGGTTGTGGTGGACATGAGGCAGGCCGTCTGTGGACAGCAGTCAGACTTGCAAGTGTCCCCGAGGATGGAGGGGGGACCCCTCACCCACCTTGGTGCTGTCCTTATCTTTGCCCTATGTGGTTCCACAGGTGCCCTGGGAAGCCCTGGCCACCTCACAAACCCCAGCCTCCTGTCCACCGTGTGCCTCTTCCTAAACTCCTCTTGTCGATGCTGACTTGCCCCTGGCACCAAGCGTGCAGACTGGCCCACTTATTTTCCATGTCTTATTGATCGGGTTTCCCTGCCAAGATGATTAAGTAGCCAGGCTTTCCACTGGTTTTAGCCAAACCAGGCAGGATTGGAATTGCTCCCTGGGACACCGCCAAATGGACGCCACAGGCGGCTGGCAGGGTACCAAAGGTACCTGCCTGGAGAGAAGTCCCACACCCCACCTGGCTTGCCCCTCACAGCCCCATGATCAGGCCTGCCACATCTTCCTGACACGCTGGGTCTGTGTCTCCAGCACCTCCTCCTCACCTTCCTCATGCTTATGTGGTGGCCACAAGTCCAGCACTCTGGGTAATGCCAGCCTTTGAAAGGATGTAGCTTTGTCTAATTTGCTCCTTTAAAAAAAAAAAGTCCTTTTACTGGGGTGGCATGGAACTCAAGCCCCACACTCTAAGTAGGTATTCTACCACTTAGAACATACCCTCTGCCTTTCATTGTTATTGTTGGTTTTTACCAATACCTGGGTCTGAACTCAGAGCCTTGAGCTCAGTTTTCTTTCTTGGGTGACACTCTACCACTTGAGCCACTCCCTCCTGTTTGGCTTTTTGCTAGAGTCTTTTTTTTTGGGGGGGGGGTCCAGTCGTGGGGCCTGAACTCTGGTGCTGTCCCTCAGCTCTTCAGCTCAAGGCTAGCACACTACCACTTGAGCCATAGCACCACCTCGATTCTGAGGAATCGAACCCAGGGCCTCATTCATGCAAGACAAGCGCTCTACCACTGAGCCACCTTCCCAGCCCTTGCTAGAGTCTTAAGGACTTTTCTGCTCTGCCTGGCTTTTGAACAGTGATCCTCAGATTTCAGCCTCCTGAATAGTTAGGATTACAGGTGTGAACTACCACTGCCTGGCTTGCTTACACACTTATTTCATTTTTCTTTTTTTTGTTTGTTTCTGCCAGTCCTGGGGCTTGAACTCAAGGCCTAGGCACTGTCCCTGAGCGTTTTTTTTTTGCTCAAGGCTAGTGCTCTACCACTTGAGCTACAGCACCACTTCCAGCTTTTTTCTATTTATGAGGTACTGAAGAATGGAACCCAGGGCTTCATGCATGCTAGGCAAGCATTCTACTACTAAGCCACCTACCCAGCCTCTAAAGTTCATTTTGATAAGTATTTTACATGATCAGAGAGGTCACATTTTTAAGGTCAGGTGTAGAACTTTGGCCCAGGACTGGCCTGCCCGGTAGCTGGGATCGCACTTCTACTCTCAGCTCATTGGCTAAGATGGGATGTAGCTTTTGCTGAGCCTTGAATAGAGTCTCCACCTCCGTGAGTGCCTGGGGCTATAACTGTGCATTTTGCAAGGCCTTTTTGTTATTTTTCATTCTGTTTGCAGTGCTGGGAATGGAATCGAGGGCCCAGCACATAAGGCTCCCCGCTGAGCAGCACCCCAGCCTTCACTATCACGCAGTGCCACCTGCGTGTGGCCAGCAGCTCCATGCAGGGGATCAGCAGGCTCACTTCCAAGAGCTCTGTGGAGGGGAAGTGGCCTCGCGGCCCGCCGCCTGCCTTCACTGCTCTCACATTACTGGCCTGTTTCCCCCAGTCACCTGGCTCTCAGGACATCCTGTCACCCAACCAAGAGAACTGAAACTGCCCTGGGAACAGAGCTGATACAGAAAGGCTGTGAAAGACGGGGTCTCCCCTCAAGGCCAGCGCTCTGTGTGGCCTCCTCTTCCTGCCTGTCCCCAGCCCAGACTTCTGGTGGGCGTGGACAAGGAGATGACTCTGAGAGCTGCTTGCCCAGTGAGGCCCTCACCGTCCCCTCGTGCGTGCACGTTTGTGCATGCGTGTGTGGAGCAATGCCTGCATTCTGGGTCTGCACAGTGCCCAGCCTGCACCTCACAGCACTTGAGTCAGGAGACCCAGTGTGGTTACCATCTGTGGCTTCTGCTGCTCTGATCTCAAGCCTGCGGAAGCGTGCGTGCGCGCATGCATGCCTGTGTGAGTGAGACCAGACCCCAGATGTTCAGTGTGTGTCCCCCCCCCCCCCCGTGACTGCTGGCTTCCTGGCAGCCACCCCTAGTGGACAGGGCCCGAGACCCAGGAGCCCATAGGACCCTCCCAGGCCAGGGGGCACAGACCACCACGTCACATGAACCCCAATGGCTGGGAAGGACCCCACCCCCTAGAAAGATCTTTCCTGGCTTCAAGGCCAGGATGATGCATCTGGAAGTGCTGGGCCAGGCAGGCGGTGAGACTCCATCCTGGAGGCCCCAGATCAGGGGCCTAGGAGCCCCTCAGCCTGGAGATAGAGGACTGCAGCGCTGCCCAGCTGTTCGCTTCTGGTTGGGGCGTCTCCGCTCCATCGTGGAGCCAGTGGCAGACAGTGCCTAGGCAGGTGTCATTGGAAATGCCCTGTTCAGTGTTTTTGACCTTTCCGTCCCCATAGGTGGGCCTGGTCATCCCTTCTCTAGTCCTGGCATATTTTAGAAGAGTCACAGCTGGTCACCATTGAGACACAGCAAGAAGGGTGGGCAGCCCCCAGGTCCCCCGCAGGAGGTACTTGAGCAGCCACACCTGGTGCCTGCTTGATAGCAGAGCGCCATCACACTCCCTGGGCCCTTCTGTTTCCAGAGGGCCGGGTCCCATTCATTGCCGTCCTGAGTGCCTGCCCTTGTTGGGCATCCTCACAGTCCCTGCCCATGGAGGGCCCTCTGCAACTGTGTGGTTAGGGACGTACCCCTGCTCTGCACCTGCGAGGCTGTGCTAGCCTCTGCACTGCAGTCCAGCCTAAGCGTCAGTGCACTGCTTTCCCTCTTTTCAGTATGGGGGTCTGAACTTAGCCTTTAAGTAACCAGGCAGGGGCTCTACTGCTGAGCCACCCCTCCGATCCTTTCTGCAGTGTTTTGTTTTGTTTTTGTCAGTCATGGGGCCTGAACTCTGGGCCTGGGCGCTGTCCCTCAGCTCTTCAGCTCAAGGCTAGTGCTCTACCACTTGAGCGACAGCACCACTTCTGGCTTTTTCTGCTTATGTGGTGCTGAGGAATCGAACCCAGGGCCTCATGCGTGCAAGGCAGGCGCTCAGTACTGGTAACCACTGAGCCCCCTTCCCAGCCCCTGCAGTGGTTATTTTTAAGCCACTGTCTCGCGCCTGCCTGGTTGCCATTCAGTGGCTGGCTGCGTGTTGGCCCCGCGTGGTTCCTGGATGACCGCACCGCACCGCACCCAGCACAGTGCCTTAGAGGTAGAGATGCCTCTGTGGGCTGCCCTGACTCTGCCAACCTCAGATCTCAGCCACGAGCCACAGGTGCCTAGCTGCAAGTTGGATTTTTAATGTTGGCCCCTCAGCAGGCTGCAGCCACTACTGCAGTGTGTTTCAGTAGCGCCGGGGCTGTGTGGCCCACGCCAGGGGCCTTTGGTGGGTCCCTGGCTCTGGTGTCACAGCACTGCCCGGCCCCACCCGCACTGCTGGTTTTCACTCGGATGTGGTTGGCTAATGAGCTTTCTCTTCTGTCTCAAGCTGGTCAGCGAGAAGGTCGGCGGGGCTGAGGGGACCAAGCTGGACGATGACTTCAAAGAGATGGAGAAGGTGAGGCAGCGGAGCTGTGAGACACCACGCCCACAGTTGGCATCCATGGACATGCCAAGAGACCCCAGTGGTGTGGGGGGTTGCTCAAGCTCCAGCAGTGGACTCCAGGAGTGACAGCCCATCCCTCCCCCATGTTGTCTAGTGTGGGTGGGGGACAGGGAGAGGCGTCGGGCCCGGAGCCCCCACCACCTTCTGCTTCTCTCCACAGAAGGTGGATGTCACCAGCAAGGCGGTGACAGAAGTGCTGGTCAGAACCATCGAGTACCTGCAGCCCAACCCAGGTAGGGGGCCAGCCTGCCCGACTGCCCCCCACCCCCAGGTCTGCCCTCCTGTCACCCAGGAATCTTCTGAAAAGACTCCACATAGAGCTCCCCTATGACCTAGAAATCCCACTTTGGGGCATTAACCCACATGATCACAAACAAGACCATAGTAAAGCTACCAGCACACCTATGGTTATTGCAGAATTATTTACCATAGCTATGATATGGAACCAACCCAGATGCCCCTCAGTAGATGAATTCATCAAGAAAATGTGGTATATATACACAATGGAATTCTATGCCTCCATCAGAAAGAATGACATTGCCCATTTGTTAGGAAATGGAAAGGCTTGGAAAAAATTATATTAAGTGAAGTAAGCCAGGCCCAAAGAAACATAGGTCCCACGGCTTCCCTTATTTGCAATAACTAGTGGGCTGTAGCTGCAGTGCCCAGTATGGGCAGGCTGGAGGCCTGGCTGAACCAGCCCGAGGCTGTGCTGGTGTGTGGGCAGCACCACTTCCTCTGCTGGCCTGCAGTCCCTGGGGCACACACTCCCCCCACCCACCTTGACCAGGGGAGACGGGGACGGGAAGGAGCCTCTGCCAGCCTCCCTGGGAGGTGGGTGTCACCCTGCTCACGTGGCGATCAGTGCACGGTGCCCTGTGACCCGCCATTTCCCCTCGCAGCCTCCCGGGCCAAGCTGACGATGCTCAACACGGTGTCCAAGATCCGGGGCCAAGTGAAGAACCCTGGCTACCCACAGTCAGAGGGGCTGCTGGGCGAGTGTATGATCCGCCACGGGAAGGAGCTGGGTGGCGAGTCCAACTTCGGTGAGAGCGGGGCATCCCCGGGCCAGGGGACCAGGGGGACCCACAGGGTCCACGTGTCCCAGTGCAGATGGACACTGCTGTCTGCCAGGCACTGTCCTAGGACAGGGCTCAGTAACCACCTCCCATGTGGGGACAAAGGGGCTGCGCAGCCGGGCATCACTCAGCCCAGTACCATGAAGGCAATGTGGGAGGCGGGGGGGTCTTGGCTTCCAGTCCCACCTGCTCCACGCTGGGCTGTGGAGCACTGGCGCCGCCAGGGGTGGCAGCCCCCCGTGACAGCCTCCCCTCCCCTCCCGCAGGAGATGCCCTGCTGGACGCGGGAGAGTCCATGAAGCGCCTGGCTGAGGTGAAGGACTCCCTGGACATAGAGGTCAAGCAGAACTTCATCGACCCGCTGCAGAACCTGTGTGACAAGGACCTGAAGGAGATCCAGGTGCCGCCTGCGGCAGCCCTGTCCCCACCCCAGACCACTAGTGCAGGGTGACCGGGCCTGGCACCTGGTCAGGCCGCTCGCTGACTTTGCCCCGCTGCCCACAGCACCACCTGAAGAAGCTGGAGGGCCGCCGGCTGGACTTTGACTACAAGAAGAAGCGTCAGGGCAAGATCCCAGACGAGGAGCTGCGCCAGGCTCTGGAGAAGTTCGAGGAGTCCAAGGAGGTGGCAGAGACCAGCATGCACAACCTCCTGGAGACAGACGTGCGTGGGGCAGCAGCCTAGCCACTGCGGGGGGGGGGGGGCTCTGGACCTCCAGAGGGTGGCTGTGCGGGGTGGCCTCAGCCTTGCTGCTCCCGCAGATCGAGCAGGTGAGCCAGCTCTCAGCACTGGTGGACGCACAGCTGGACTACCACCGGCAGGCTGTGCAGATCCTCGAAGAGCTGGCCAGCAAGCTGAAGCGCCGGTAAGCCCCTTCCACTACTCCTGAAGCCCTGACGCCACCCCCCCCCCCACCATGCACTCACAGAGGCTCCCGGGCTGCCTGCGCCCTCTGCCTGTGGAAGCAAGCACTACACTCGGCCTCGGCAGCCCTGGTGTGAATCCAATGCTGTCAGCCCTGGGCGTGTTGAGGGATCCCTGAAGGTAGCAAGGCCTGCTCCATTCATCCTCCTTCTCCACCCCCACCCCATGGAGACCACAGAGGAAACCAGAGGTCACACTCAGTCAGTGACTCAGCCGGGGTCACCCCAGCCACTGGCCCAGGACACCTCTGTGCTTTCCTTCCTGCTGCCTGGCCGGGCCCAGCCCTATGAGGGCATGGTGGCGTGTGGGTGCACCGGGGGGCAGGGCAGTGGACAGCCTCTGGAGGTGCCCAACACTGGGGCACTGGTCCAGAGCCTTCTTTGAGGTTCAGCCAGGGCCTGTGGGTGCCCTGTGCCTCACGTCATGCTACGGAGGCCCTCTCCACCCCAGACCAGGCCCGGGCAGGCACTGGGTGGGTGTGGCTGTGCCTTGGCCAGTGCTCAGCACTCTACTCCCCACAGGGTGCGGGACGCCTCCTCGCGCCCCAGGCGTGAGTACAAGCCCAGGCCCCGGGAGTCCTTTGACCTAGGGGAGCCTGAGCAGTCCAACGGGGGCCTCCCCTGCGCCGCGCCCAAGACCACAGGTGATGCGGGCCACCCCTGGGAGCCATGGTGGGGGCACCCGCCCTCTGCACTGTGGTCCTGGGCCAGGCTCACTCCCCTTTGTCCTCCAGGAGTTTCATCGTCTTTCCGATCTTCCGAGAAGCCCATCCAGACGCCCAGCAGGAGCATGCGTGAGTGGCCTCTTGCGATGACTCCAGAGAGCACTGGAGGAAGGGGTGGGGCGGCCAGGGCCACAGCATGGGGCGGGCGGGGGGGGGGCTGACCTTAGAGCAAAGCACCTGGCACCCCATCCCGCAGCGCCCCTGGACCAGCCGAGCTGCAAGGCCCTGTATGACTTCGAGCCTGAGAACGACGGTGAGCTGGGCTTCCGTGAGGGCGACCTCATCACGCTCACCAACCAGATCGACGAGAACTGGTACGAGGGCATGCTGCACGGCCAGTCGGGCTTCTTCCCGCTCAGCTACGTGGAGGTGCTCGTGCCCCTGCCTCAGTGACGCCGCCCGGCCCCACCAGCCCCACCCGGGGCGATCGCATTCCACGAGCGGCTCAGCTCCCACCTCCGGGCAGGTGAGCTCCTGTTTACGTGGGCGCCGTGGCTCAGCAGCAGCAGGCGGTGTGTGGAGCTCCTTCCACGTGGGGCTAACACTAAGGTGCTCTAGAAACACTAACGTTCCTCTTGCCCCTCCACGGGCGGCAACTCCAAGGGGGCCCTCCAGCCCCTTCCCCAGGTCCACTGTCCTGACTCACAAGGCCCAGGCCGCAGCCTAACTGGGTGTGGCCCCCCCTGGCCATTCCACACCCCAGTTTGTAATCCCCTCCAGCCCGTTGCTGGCAATGGGCCTTGCCCCTCCATACACACTCACTCCAGGCGGCTCGGGGCACCTCACCCCCATCTTGCACACATCCCAGGTACTTGCTGGGTACTGGGGTCCTCACCCCTCCAGCAGTGCCCGCATGCCAGCCTGAGCCCGGGCCTCGGCGGATCACACGAGGGGTTTCTCTGGCACAAGCCGCCGCCACCAGCTGAACACCCCTCCCACGGGACCAGGCACAGGCTTCCGAAGAGAATGTCCCCTGCCTGAGCCATCCCGCCCCGCCGCTGTGTGTGGTGACCCCTGCATCACCTCCATAGACAGCTGCCAGCGTGACCCCGGCCCCCCCCCCCCCCCCCGGCCACAGCCCAGCTTTCCTCCCCTCACTGAACCCAGGCGCTGGCTGAGTGGAGGCCGGGGTCCAGGTTTGCAGTCCCCCCAGCCCGGCCCCTCTGGGGGGCGCCCTGACCACAGGAAGTGCAGCTTGCTCCGGGTCCAGGCAAAGCCATGTACTCCTCATTTTTACAAAGTATTAAACGTCTTTCTACAGCCTCCGTGTCCTCTCCCCTACCACACACACACACACACAGCTGACACAGCCCCATCTTGGAGCATGGGGTGGGAGGGTGGGGGACCTCAGCCTGTGGCCGGATGAGGGTGAGGATTTAAGCCCCAGGGGGTTCACTGGGTGCCAGGGGAGTGGGGAGCTGCCGGCCTGCCCGCACAACCCACACCAAAGCGATCCTCATGGCTGCCAGCTGCTTGCGCTTTATTATCCAAGCCTGAGTCACAGGGACGAAGGGCAGCCGGCCTGCTTGAGGATACCGCAGACCTGCTCCAGCACGTGGCCCACACCCTGGTCCTTGGGCGTCCTGCTGGCCAGGGAGATCTGAAACCCCAGGGCAGGCTGCTCAGGCGGTGCTGTGTCCCCAGGTCCTCCCGGGGTGCCTGCATTGCATTTTACAGGCTGGACCTCGCCCTGCTGCCCTGAGAAGGTAGTGGGAAGGAAGCCCACAGGCTGGAGAAGCCCCAGCCTGGGCTCACCTTGGGGACAGGCAGCCGCGTCCCCCGTGGTATGTCCAACCACCCAGGGGTCTCGGGGCCTTGAAGCAGAGCACCGGCCTTCTCGGCGCCATCTCACCTTGAGCTTGTCCAGGTAGCTGTGCTCCTGGCTCCAGGGCTCCTGGAAGCTCACGAGGTCCGGGGCGCCCTTGTAGAACTCCACCAGCAGCATCTGCAGACAGGTCACGCACCTGCCTCTCTCCAGTGGGCCTCCCGCCTTCCTCCCTCCACCTCGCAACCCGGGCACCACGAAGGAGAGTCCAGACCCAGCAGAGGGAAGGACAGGCACCAGGCTGGACCGCCACTCACGCCTGCCTAAGCCAGCACAGCCCAGAGCCTGGCTCCTAACACCAGCGGCACTGGTGGCAGGGCAGAGGCGGTGAGCACCTCCCACTTCGGTTTGCGCAGGCTCTGAACTCAGGGCTTCGTACTTGCAAGGCAGACGCTCTACCACTTGAGCCACACCCCCAGCCCTTTTTCTTTTTGCTGCAGCAAGCCTGGACTTTGGTATTCCTGTTTACACTTCCCACATAGTGGGGATGTATGGATGGATGATAGGCATATACTATTATGCCCTGCTTGTAGGTTGAGGAATCTCACTGATACTTTGCCTGGCTAGCCTCCTCTCCTCTCCTAATCTGCACTTCCTGAGTAGCGGGGATGGGAGCCATCATGACTAACCACGTTCAACTTTTTGCATTTTTGCTTTAAAAAAAAAAAAGGACCAGGGCTTGAATTAAGAAGAGCCTTGTGCTTTCACTTGGCTTTTTTGCTGACAGCAGGGGTTCTACCCTGTGAGCCATGCTTGACTCCAGTTCTTGGCTGGTTATTTAGAGATAAAGAGTCGGATTTATTTGCTTGGGCTGGCTTCAAACCTCCATGCTCAGATCTCAGGCTCCCAAGTAGCTAGGATTTCAGTGCAAATTTTTCCAATGTAACACACACAGACACACACACATACACACAATCAAGTGAGTTCAGCAGACCTCAGGCTCCCAAGTAGCTAGGATTTCAGTGCAAATTTTTCCAATGTAACACACACAGACACACACACACACACACACACACTTACCATCTCATGCAGGATGTCATTGGTCAGAAAACTGTCCTGGACATAAGCCATCTCCACATCCATGGGGATGCCGTAGTCACTGGGCCTTTGCTGGGAGGGACACGCGTGGTCAGAGAGGCCCCCACTGACTTCTGACCTCTGCCCCGGAGTGGGAGGGGGCATAGCTCAGTGGGTGGCCATCATGTCCCCATTTCACAGAAGCCACAAACAGGTGAGAAACGGTGCCCCCGCCTCAGCCCTGGCTTGTCTGTCACCCACACAACCTCCCTCCCTGACCCCCAGCCTCCCCCAGAGGCCAGCCTACCTCGGGGGGCGGCATCACCCAGAACGGGGAGATGTTAGACTCAGGGCCCGGGTTGCCTGGATAGTATGGGGCTGGGGGAAGAGACAGCGTGGGCTGGGTAAGCTGGTCTAGGCTGCTCCCCACACCCCACACCCTGCACCCCAGGCCTCACAGCAGAGCAGGGCCAGGCAGGGCTGGAAGCCGTTGCTGGAGCCCTGCAGCCGCAGCTGGTACTCCATCTGCGCGTCGATGTCCTGCAGTGTGGGCAGCGCCGGGCTGTGCGGGTGGCTGTGGTACCAGCCCACCAGCGACAGCCCCCGCAGGAACAGGCTCTGGTAGATCTGCAGACGGAGGCACAGCCAAGGCTAAGCCAGGGAGCTCAGGGGCCAGGGCCTGCTATGTGCCAGGCCTGGGGCCCTGGGCACACCTTCACTAGACCCACCATAATAGGCCAGTGGCTCATGCCTTGTCATCCCAGCTACTCAGGAGCCTGAGATCTGAGGATGAGACTCCTGTCTCAAATGAACCAGCACAAGGCTGCAAGTAGAGCTGTGGCTGAAGCGGTAGAGTGCTAGCCTTGAGTGGAGACAATCAGGGACAGAGCCAGGCCCAGAGTTCAAGCTCTGACACAAAAATGAAGAGTGCTCAGAATCTGCACTCGGCCTGCTGTAGACCCCACATTCTCTTGATTTAACACAAGGACAAAGCTGTTTGCAGATAGGAGAAAAAGTCTGTTTGTGGGGGAGACAATCTTCCCTAGCAAGGTTAGGGTGCAGCTCCGTAGAGGGCTCCTAGCACCAAAACAAAACCTGAGGATCTGAGTGGAAGGAGTTAGCACAGCCCCAGCCAAACAGCTGTGTCTCTCCCCTCCCCCGCTTCCTCCCCCCACCCCCACACAGTGATCCCCTCACCTCCTCTTCAATGCTGGCCGCAGTGTCAGGGTCCCCAAGCCGGCTCCTGCATGGGAAGGCTCTCAGCACGGTAAGCACTGCGGGGTGACAGGGAAGCCGCAAATAGTGACCCCGGTCTCCATGCCCCCTACCCACCTGGTCCCCAATACTCACTTTGGTTGTTGATATCCCAGCGGCCCCCGAGGTAGCCCACAACCTCACTCCGTGTCAGGTGGCTGTGGAAGTCCTGGGAGGAAAGGCAGACGCTGGGGCTCCTGCCCCAACTTGAGCCAGCCACCTCCCCCCACCCCTTTATTTTTTTTGTGTTGGTTTTGGGGCTTGAACTCAGGGCCTGGGAGCTGTTCCTGAGCTCTTTTGCTCAAGGTGAGCGCTCTACCACTCAGCCACAGCGCCACTTCTGGTTTATTGGAGGTAAGAATGTTACAGACTTTCCTGCCTGGGCTGGATTTGAATGGTGATCCTCAAATCTCAGCTTCCTGAGTATCCCCACTACCCCCCCCCACTTCTTAATTACAGAAGCAAACATTTATTGCTCACTCACTGATTACCAGTAGCAAACATTTATTGAGCACCTACTGTTTATGAGCAGCAAACACAACACTGGTCTTCGAGTGGACATTTTGAACCCCTTCCCCTCCTGGCTGGTCCAGGCCCAGAGCCCCTGGCCCTGCTCACTAAGGGATGAGTTGGGAGCTTGGTCACACACCAGCAGAAAGAGCACGTTGCTGGAAATGGCCACGTTGAACGGCTGGAACTTGTTGATGGCTGCGAAGGAAGTTACTTCCACCAGGGTGTGGGGGTTCCTGGAGTAGCCAGGAGGGTCCCATGGTCTCAGGAGGCCCATGTTTTCCCTCACCTGCCCACCCAGCCCCTGCCCTGGCATTCCACCACACCAAACAAGGATTCTGTGTAAGCTGAGGGTTGGGCCGGCTCCGGGGGGGGGGCATCTGACCTGGCAGAGTCACGACTGCCCAGCATGCAGTAGCGCACGGGCACCCGCAGCTTGCTCTCCACCCGCTTCCCTGGGGGCACGGCCTCTGGAGAGGGAGAGAAGAAATGTCAACCACTCTGCACCCCAGTCTGGGTATACAACAAGGGGCAACTCAAGAAAAAACAAACAGCGCTAGGCTGGAAAATCAGGCAGAAAGCAGAGACACATGAGATTTGTTTAAAATACATAAAGATTTTAAAAATCAGGCCAGGCGCTGGTGGCTCACGCCTGCCATCCTAGCTACTCAGGAGGCTGAGATCTGAGGATCACAGTTCATAGCCAGCCAGGGCAGGAAAAATCCATGAGATTTTTATCTCCAATAAACCACAAAGACAAAAGTGGAGCTGTGTGGCTCAAGTGGTAGAACACCAGCCTTGAGTGACAAAAATCTTAAGAGACAGTGCAAAGTCCATTCGTTCTAAGACCCAGGAGCTTGGCGTCAAAAAAGGAAAAAGAAGTAAAGCCAAGTAAGACTGCAGGGCCCTGAGTTCAAGCACCAGGCTGGGCACACACACACATACACACAATCAAGTGAGTTCAGGAACCCATAAATGAATAAGGGAGAAGGTTGCCAAATCCAGCATCAGAGCTTCAGAACTCAGGCAGAGAGCGGAATCTGGTGGTGGGGTGCTAGAGAAGATCGACACCCCCCCACCCCAGTCTCATCCCCCATCCTGATTCCCTGCTTCTGCTTGCCCTCACCTGGGTGTGCAGGCTCCGAGAGGCCCTTCCCCTGAGGTCTCCGGTTCTTATCCTCCACTGAGACCCCCGCCACCACCTCCTCATCCTCATCTTCCATCAGCAGCTCCTCCTCCTCCCCTTCGCTGGCGGGGCTCTGGCAGAATGTCAGGGGGGAGGGATGACCCTGTCAATGGGCTGCCCCCCTCCCTCACCCATCTCCCTCCCCATCAGCAGACTGTAGCCGTAGTTGTCATTATCTAGACTGACCACTAGGGGGCGAGAGTGAACAGAGGCATGGAATGCCCACACCAGGGCAGCTCATTAATAAATCCTATCAGATCCATTAGTGGAAAACAAACAAACAAACCAGAACTTGCCCACTCTACCACTTGATAGCGGCCAGATTCAACTTTGCAAGACCACTTCAATAGCTTTAGCGGGGTCTCCAGCTCCTACCCACATCCCACAGCCTGTCCTCCCACAATATCCACCAGAGGCACCCATGAGTGTGAAATCCCTTTCCACCCTCTTCTGCCCCCTTCCGTGGCTCCCATCTCCCTCAGGGTCAAAGCCCCAAGTCCTGCCCCAAGGCCCTGCACAGCCCACCCTGTCCCCTCCCTACCTCTCCCCCGTCTCTCGGTTCCTTGATCCCTCTGCTCCTGCCACACAGGGCCTCTTCACTGTTTCTCCAACACAGCCTGTCCCCAAGTCTTTCAGGCACCAGCTCCCGCTCTTTCTGTTCCATGCTCTGATGGTGCCCTCTCTCTAACCCAGCTGAACCCTCCTCACCCAACAGCGCATTGGGAAGGACTTTACCTCATCCGCGGCAGCTACCGCCATGTGAAGCTGATGTCGTCGGAGCCAGGTGGCCTTGTACTTGTCCAGTTTCTGGCCCTTGTATTTGACGGAGGCCCAGCCGCAGCCAGACTTCTTGGCTGGGTTGACCAGCTTCTTGCAGTGGGTAGCCCAGGCACTGGGGGAATTGAAAACCTGCCCAGTTTCTTGCCACACGATCCTCCCATCCGGCTGCAAGTCCCCCAGGAACTTCTTCCCCTGTAGCAGCAAACGGGTTGGCTGGATGCGGGCAGCAGACCCCACCAGAGTCCCTCAAGGAAGTCCTCCTAAACCCGTGCTCCCTGGAGTTTGCCAGACACTCTCCACTAACTACAGTGAACCCTCCCAGGCCAACCTCTGCCTTTGAACTGCGAGAGCACCTACAGGTAAGGGGAAATGTCAATCTCCAGCACTGCTGTATCCATGACAACCACGCACAGCCTGGCTCCCAGCAGGTCCTACAGAGCCCAGGCATGGTAGTTCGTGGCTGTCACTTCCACACATAGGCTACCTGGCAAGATCCTGTCTTAAAAAAGCAGCCAGGAGCTAGTGGCTCACACCTGTCATCCCAGCTACTCAAGAGGCTGAGATCTGAGGATCAGCCGTTTGAAGCCAGCCCCTGGCAGGAATTCCAGGAAACTCCTATCCCCAAGGAACCAGCTAAAAGCTAGAAGCGGAGGCTCAAGTGGTAGAGGCCATCCTTGAGTGAAAAAGTTAAGGGACAGCGATCAGGCCCTGAGTTCAAGCCCCAGTTCTGACACAACCACCCCTCTTCTCCCCGCCAAAAAAAGGCAATCAAACGCACAAACAGAAAAACTAAGAGGACTAGGGATACATAGCTCAGCAGTATCTACAGTACTTCAAGGACAGCAAAATCCTCCTAGATTCTAGATGTCACTATACTACTCCGCAGGGGGGGGGGCTACTGCCTCCGATTCCCCTCCCCCACAGTCGGGCACGTCCAGGGAGTCCTGGGCCTCAGTTTCCCCGTCGTGCAGGAGCAGGGATGGGTTGGGGACGCTCACCAGATAGTAGATGGACAGCACCCCGGCGCCGGGCTCCAGCAGCGCGTCTTTGAGCAGCACCCGCAGCGTGACGGCGCGCCGGGTGAGCGCGCCCCCCAGCCCGCCG